CATTACACCTCACCACTGCTCCTGTCGACCCTCAGTCACCTGCTACCACCATTGTAGATTCACCCAATGAATCCACTCCAGAAGAGGAAGATAGCGACGACTTCAGTAAACCCTCATGGGAAGATCTTACCTTCTACACTTCTTCAAATACTGACACCATGACCTGTACTGAACTCTACAAAAGCCTCAGTGCTGGAACAGTCAAGTATGCCTGTGAATCACCGCTTCACTTCACACTCACCCAAGTTCTTGAGTTCATCAAGCCTCTACATTTCACCTTCAGTAACAAGGCTAAATTATACCACCTATCTAGGAGCAGCTTCAAAAAGTTCGAAAATGGCTCCATTGCTAACCTGCCTCCTCAGTTACTCCTATAACTCCCATATGTGTTCTACCCTCTGATGTGACCTAGCCTGCTGCCAGCTACTCAAGATTCAAGACTTCAACTACCACAAGTTCGATACAACAGTCCCTGCTATTCCTGTTCTCAAGTCTGACCCACGATCGCCTTAGCTGCTGGGTTAAGCCCTGGCTCTATTTCTCTGACTAAGAACACTCCTCTCCAGAGCTATTCTTCATCTGTCCCGTCTTCCCCGCTCATCCCTTTGGGATCTTACCTGAACTTATTTGATTTTGATTTGATTTTGATTGAATACATTTGAAGATAAAACTGGTAGAGCCCCTCTGAATAGCAATGAAGATGCCTTACCAACACAACACACAAACTTTCATGTGCAAATGAACACAAATAGGGCAGAAGTGAATATAGACATAGAAAAGGTAACAAGGTCCTTTTAGAGCTAGCTAGTGATATTGTATAAGATTTAGGGGTAAACTGTGAACAGTCCAAGGCCTTGTCTTCCTTTCTTCAAATTCAAATTCAAAGTGTATTCTCTATGAGGATTACAATGCTGAATTTACAGAATTGGATTATTGTGTGGTTTGCATGTAGTAAAATACTAATTACAGAGGGTGCCACCAGAACACCTTGCATGGCTAGGCATTTCGGCAGACTTAGATTAATTCTTAAATTTGAAATATTACAAATTATGAGGTAAGTTGGTATTATGGCTAAGTGACTAAATACTAGTTTGTGAGTTTAGCAATGTGAATGCTTTTGTTTTGGCACAATACATAGTTTCAGTATTGGAGTATCACAGGCCAACTTATGACTAGTTAGGATTCATTATTTTAACCCTTTGACTGTTTATGCCGTATAAATGCGTCTTACGCACTACTGTTTCTGACGTATATATACTCAATAATTCTAGCGGCTTCAAATCAAGCGGGAGAAAGCTGGTAGGCCCACATGTGAGAGAATGGGTCTGTGTGGTCACTGTGCACCACATAAAAAAAATCCTGCAGCACACAGTGCGTAATGAGAAAAAAAAACTGATCGTTTTTTTGGATTAAAGCGCCGACTTTGAGGTGTATTTTTGTATAGTATTTATCGTTGTATTCGCGTTTTCATGGTCTTAGGTGATAAAATGGAAAACATATTACAGAAATAGAGATGATTTTCATTACTTTGACAATAAAAACGACCTTGAAACTGAGCTCAAAGTAGCAGAAATGTTCGATTTTTACCAATGTTCAGGAGTAAAAAAAATCACACCACACGTCCAATACACGTCAACTGGGGAGTCTAATATTCTTTCACTAGTGCATTGATATTATTTATACCATTTTTACAATAATGCAGTAGTCTGCATAACAGTAAATTTTGTATTTTTTTTGTATGAATAAAAAATCAAAATAGAAAGCAATAATAATATAAGAGGGGCCTAGAGATATGACTAATGAACAGAGGATATGTTATTTTAGTGCCAAGAATGTCTACCTTGTTTATTCTGGACCCTTTTTTGAAATTGGCATCTTTTTTATTTTGCGTGAAATTGGCCAAATTGCCAATTTCTGACCACTATATTGGGTAGTTCAAATTGGTAAATGGGCAGTTTCTTGTACTCAGCTGATAGATAAAATGGAGTTCTAAAGAAATAGCTATGAGTTTGGTCAACTGGAACAACGGAATTGGCTGAAAACAGGGCTCAAAGTCGGCGAAATCGCCGATTCGCATATGTCGCCAAGACCGCTAACTTCGCGGGAGCGTAATTCTGTGAGTTTTCGACCAAATTTCGAACTTTTGGTGTCATTACCATCGGGAAAATATTCTCTATCATTTCATAAGAAAAAATATTTTTTTTTTTTTTCAAAAATTTATCGACAGAACAAGTTTCAGAAAGGGGCCTGCGACAGTCAAAGGGTTAAAATTGAGATTGATATTTCTGTTTATGGTCAAATGGGTGAGTGAGTGTAAGTGTGAACCACCAGGTGGTATTCGTGTAATTAGTTGACGGGGTGTATCAGGGAGATAAGATGTTTTCTAATGGTAGTTTTGAAGGTGATGAATGTGTCTGCAGTTCTAGAGTTTTCAGGTAGGGTGTTCCAGATTTTAGGGCCTTTGACATACATTGAATTTTTGTAAAGGTTTAGTCGGACACGGGGAATGTCATAGAGATGTTTGTGTCTGGTGTTATGCCTGTGGGTTCTGTCACAACTGTCAAGAAAGCGTTTTAGGTCAAGGTTAATATTGGAATTTAAGGTCCTGTAGATGTAGATTGCACAGTAGTAAGTGTGGATGTACTGAACAGGGAGTAAGTTTAGATCTATGAAGAGTGGGGGGGTGTTGCCAGGGATGGGATTTAGTGATTATTCTTACTGCGGCTTTTTGTTGGGTTATTATTGGCTTTAGGTGTGTTGCTGCAATTGATCCCCAAGCACAAATAGCATAGGTGAGGTATGGATAAATAAGTGAGTGGTATAGTGTGAGAAGGGCATTTTGCGGCACGTAGTATTGTATCTTGGAGAGGATCCCAACTGTTTTGGATACTTTTTTGGTTATGTGTTGGATATGGGTGCTGAAATTCAGGTTGTTGTCGAGGTATAGGCCTAGGAATTTGCCCTCATTATGTCTGGCAATTAGAGTGTTGTCAATCTTAATGTTAATTTGCACAACTCCTGCTCTGCTACCAAACATAATATAGTAGGTTTTGTCAGTGTTAAGCGTAAGTTTATTGGCTGTCATCCAAGCTCAAATGTTCCCAAGGTTATATGATACCAAGAGGTAAGCCATCAAATAAACCAGAAATAAGCATTTATGCAAGACCAGATGTATAGGTAAACTGTTCAGAAATTTGCACAACAGCTCAAAACAGTTAATAATTAAAATTCCATAAATCACAGCAAAAAGAAAATCCATCTATGTTTACCCTGGTGGGTTTAGCACTTAGTTTTGATTATAATGATAATAATCCAACTGTATTGGCTCTATGCCTGAGATGTTTGCAAATGCTGATAGACTCACGAAAGAAACGAAACAGGTAAATACAGCAATACAAAGAAATGGTGTAATTTCCTAAATAGAGGCATATATTGTTCAAGTTGTGCAGTTCAATAAATGAGAAATGATGCTGTACCACAAACAAACTAACCTGTAATTCACATGAAGAGAGTGGGGCAAGTAGAGCCTTGTGAAGGCTCTACTGAACATGGCAAATACAACCATACAAACAGCAGAGAATTTTAAGTACCAGGAAGTGAGAAAGTAAGGCAAGAAATAATAAGAATATATCACTATATTGGAGCCATGATGCACTGGAAACAAAGCCAGTGGCTGGCTTATCAGAGCCACAGATATTAATATCAACGAAGAAACCCCCAGCATAACAACATATAACATCATATTTATATATATATTTTTTCAACAACCAGCCATATCCCACAGAGGCAGTGTGACCTAAGAAGAAAAACGAAAGTTTCTCTTTTTAAATTTAGCAATATATACAGGAGAAGGGGTTACTAGGCCCTTGCTCCCGCCATTTCAGTCGCCTCTTACGATACGCATGGCTTACAAGGAAGAATTCTGTTCCACTTCCCCAAGTAACAAAATATTTTTAGTGGTTGCCTCACAGTCAAATGCAAGGTTTGCAGTTTTTACAGAGACCAGTGTTAAAGACTACTTTGACAATGAAATATGGATACTAACTGCATACATTGTACTTGGGTGTGATCAGAAAAACAGGCAACAAGGGATGGTTGGCCTGTACATTAGAGTTGTTCATTTGTGCTGAGTTACTTAACACCTCAAATAATGTAGTAAGAATTTTGGTTGTCAAAATTAAAACCCAGTCTAGTAATTAAATTTGTATATAAACCAGATGCAACTTCCCATCAGTTTAATTCTGTCCATGTAATATACAGTATAACCATACCACGGGCGGGATTGAACCTGCGGTCAGAGAGTCTTGGATATATAAGCATCATTTCTTTTTTCTTTCTAATATTTTTGATTACAGAGGACATTTCTCCTTAAATATTGCTTTAACCTCATTAATATTGAAAGCCATAAGAAAAAATGTCTAGAAAAAAAATTATGGAAAATCCAGTGAGCCCATTTTTAGCTAACTTGTTTTTTTAATCCGTAAAATTTCAAAACATGCGGTAAAATATTGATAAATCAAAGCCTTTCAAATTTGGAGGGCAGTGAATTTGTGGGGCTTGACTTTACAGTTACCTGCAATTGATTTTAGAATAAAGCAAGGGTTAGATACAGAACAGTACAGCCTCTCCTCACTTAGCAACGTACTCGTTTACTGATGCCTTGGACTTACAATGGGCTCTCTGACCAGCATGCATGCCTAAATAATGTATATTAGAGCTGATTTCCTCTGTTCTGTTTATTACAATATACAGTACACTACTGTATAAACATTTAAAAATATACCAGAAATGTTATAAATGGTGCAAAGGTAACATTAAAACAATATCAAAGATAGTTGAATAGTTGACATAAACCCACTGCCATTATAGTATGCTCCTCACCTAGCGACGAATTCGTTTACCGACGTGGTCTTAGGAACAGAACTTTGTTGTTAAGTGAGGAGAGCTGTACTTCATTTTATGACATTCTTATGGAAAGCGCATTACACTCCATCTATTAATTTTTCCTGCAGAAACGTCGAGGACGTGGTATTTATGGTGGAAAGACTCATGGAGCTGGAAGTGGTGGTTCTGGCCAAAGACAAAATTTTATGCGAGTTGGCTATGAGACCGGAAACACTCCATTTTATTTACGCTTTTCATATCAGACCTACTATAAGGGACACCAGTAAGTAGTGCACCAGTACAGGTACTGTTAAATTAGGGTATGATTAGTACTGTAGCAATATTTAATTAACCCTTAACATGGAGGACACAGTACTGGAAAACTAAGAGCAAAATGAATCTACATACTACACTGAATTAAGGTTAAGTGGGGAAAAAAATTGGTTTATGGTTCAGACACTTGGCCATCCTTTGAGGCAGTGCAGTCATTACCACTTTGTAATGCACACTACTTCCTCTTGACATTACAGCCATCTGCTGTTAAAATGCATAATACATTCTTTTTTGAGTCTTTAGAGTCATCTTAACACTGGCTCACACTACCTACTTGGAGACATTACAAGTATCTAGCATTCTGTAGCTCACACTACCTTCTACCCTCTGAAACAATGCTATCATCTATTACTCCGAAAAGAAGTACAGTACGGCCTCTCCTCACTTAGCGACGTTTATTGACAACTCGGACTTGCGACGGGCTCTCTGACTAGTATGCATACCTAAATAATGTATATTAGAGCTGATTTCCTCAATTCTGTTTATGACAGTATACAGTACACTGCTGTATAAACATTTAAAAATATACCAGAAATGTTATAAATGGTGCAAAGGTAACATTAAAACAATATCAAAGATGGTTGATACAAACTCACTACCATTATACGTAGTATGCTCCTCACATAGCGATGAATTCAGTTACTGACATGGTCTTAGGAATGGAACTCCGTCGTTAAGTGAGGGGAGGGTGTATTATATTTTTTATTGTCTTTTGTACATCTTGTTATACACTCATATTCTCCCAGATGATGATTGCAAAAAATCTTTCCTACTAGGTCAGGGGTTTCAAATAGAGTTAGAGCTAAAGAAGGAGTAGCAATAATGTTGAAGGATAAGCTATGGCAGGAAAAGAGGGACTATAAATGTATTAATTCAAGGATTATGTGGAGTAAAATAAAGATTGGATGTGAAAAGTGGGTTATAATAAGCGTGTATGCACCTGGAGAAGAGAGAAGTGTAGAGGAGAGAGACAGATTTTGGGAAATGTTGAGTGAATGCGTGGGGAGTTTTGAATCAAGTGTGAGAGTAATGGTGGTTGGGGATTTCAATGCTAAAGTGGGTAAAAATGTTATGGAGGGAGTAGTAGGTAAATTTGGGGTGCCAGGGGTAAATGTAAATGGGGAGCCTTTAATTGAGCTATGTGTAGAAAGAGATTTGGTAATAAGTAATACATATTTTATGAAAAAGAGGATAAATAAATATACAAGGTATAATGTAGCACGTAATGAAAGTAGTTTATTAGATTATGTATTGGTGGATAAAAGGTTGATGGGTAGGCTCCAGGATGTACATGTTTATAGAGGGGCAACTGATATATCGGATCATTATTTAGTTGTAGCTACAGTTAGAGTAAGAGGTAGATGGGAAAAGAGGAAGGTGGCAACAACAAGTAAGAGGGAGGTGAAAGTGTATAAACTAAGGGAGGAGGAAGTTCGGGTGAGATATAAGCGACTATTGGCAGAAAGGTGGGCTAGTGCAAAGATGAGTAGTGGGGGGGTTGAAGAGGGTTGGAATAGTTTTAAAAATGCAGTATTAGAATGTGGGGCAGAAGTTTGTGGTTATAGGAGGGTGGAGGCAGGAGGAAAGAGGAGTGATTGGTGGAATGATGAAGTAAAGGGTGTGATAAAAGAGAAAAAGGTAGCTTATGAGAGGTTTTTACAAAGCAGAAGTGTTATAAGAAGAGCAGAGTATATGGAGAGTAAAAGAAAGGAAAAGAGAGTGGTGAGAGAGTGCAAAAGGAGAGCAGATGATAGAGTGGGAGAGGCACTGTCAAGAAATTTTAATGAAAAATAAGAAAAAATTTTGGAGTTAAACAAGTTAAGAAAGCCTAGGGAAAGTATGGATTTGTCAGTTAAAAACAGAGTAGGGGAGTTAGTAGATGGGGAGATGGAGGTATTAGGTAGATGGCGAGAATGTTTTGAGGAACTTTTAAATGTTAAGGAAGAAAGAGAGGCAGTAATTTCATGCACTGGTCAGGGAGGTATACCATCTTTTAGGAGTGAAGAAGAGCAGAATGTAAGTGTGGGGGAGGTACGTGAGACATTACGTAAAATGAAAGGGGGTAAAGCAGCTGGAACTGATGGGATCATGACAGAAATGTTAAAAGCAGGGGGGGATATAGTGTTGGAGTGGTTGGTACTTTTGTTTAATAAATTATGAAAGAGGGGAAGGTACCTAGGGATTGGCGGAGAGCATGTATAGTCCCTTTATATAAAGGGAAAGGGGACAAAAGAGACTGTAAAAATTATAGAGGAATAAGTTTACTGAGTATACCAGGAAAAGTGTACGGTAGGGTTATAATTGAAAGAATTAGAGGTAAGACAGAATGTAGGATTGCGGATGAGCAAGGAGGTTTCAGAGTGGGTAGGGGATGTGTAGATCAAGTGTTTACATTGAAGCATATATGTGAACAGTATTTAGATAAAGGTAGGGAAGTTTTTATTGCATTTATGGATTTAGAAAAGGCATATGATAGAGTGGATAGAGGAGCAATGTGGCAGATGTTGCAAGTATATGGAATAGGTGGTAAGTTATTAAATGCTGTAAAGAGTTTTTATGAGGATAGTGAGGCTCAGGTTAGGGTGTGTAGAAGAGAGGGAGACTACTTCCCAGTAAAAGTAGGTCTTGACAGGGATGTGTAATGTCACCATGGTTGTTTAATATATTTATAGATGGGGTTGTAAAGGAAGTAAATGCTAGGGTGTTCGGGAGAGGGGTGGGATTAATTTTGGGGAATCAAATTCAAAATGGGAATTGACACAGTTACTTTTTGCTGATGATACTGTGCTTATGGGAGATTCTAAAGAAAAATTGCAAAGGTTACTGGATGAGTTTGGGAATGTGTGTAAAGGTAGAAAGTTGAAAGTGAACATAGAAAAGAGTAAGGTGATGAGGGTGTCAAATGATTTAGATAAAGAAAAATTGGATATCAAATTGGGGAGGAGGAGTATGGAAGAAGTGAATGTTTTCAGATACTTGGGAGTTGACGTGTCGGCGGATGGATTTATGAAGGATGAGGTTAATCATAGAATTGATGAGGGAAAAAAGGTGAGTGGTGCGTTGAGGTATATGTGAAGTCAAAAAACGTTATCTATGGAGGCAAAGAAGGGAATGTATGAAAGTATAGTAGTACCAACACTCTTATATGGGTGTGAAGCTTGGGTGGTAAATGCAGCAGCGAGGAGACGGTTGGAGGCAGTGGAGATGTCCTGTTTAAGGGCAATGTGTGGTGTAAATATTATGCAGAAAATTCGGAGTGTGGAAATTAGGAAAAGGTGTGGAGTTAATAAAAGTATTAGTCAGAGGGCAGAAGAGGGGTTGTTGAGGTGGTTTGGTCATTTAGAGAGAATGGATCAAAGTAGAATGACATGGAAAGCATATAAATCTATAGGGGAAGGAAGGCGGGGTAGGGGTCGTCCTCGAAAGAGTTGGAGAGAGGGGGTAAAGGAGGTTTTGTGGGCAAGGGGCTTGGACTTCCAGCAAGCGTGCATGAGCGTGTTAGATAGGAGTGAATGGAGACGAATGGTACTTGGGACCTGACGATCTGTTGGAGTGTGAGCAGGGTAATATTTAGTGAAGGGATTCAGGGAAACCGGTTATTTTCATATAGTCGGACTTGAGTCCTGGAAATACAATGCCTGCACTTTAAAGGAGGGGTTTGGGATATTGGCAGTTTGGAGGGATATGTTGTGTATCTTTATATGTGTATGCTTCTAAAGTGTTGTATTCTGAGCACCTCTGCAAAAACAGTGATAATGTGCGAGTGTGGTGAAAGTGTTGAATGATGATGAAAGTATTTTCTTTTTGGGGATTTTCTTTCTTTTTTTTTGGGTCACCCTGCCTCGGTGGGAGACGGCCGACTTGTTTGAAAAAAAAAAAAAAAAAAAAAAATATAAATTTGTATCAAGAAGTAATTAGACATTTCTACAAAAAAAAAAAAAAGTAGGATCAGCCAGCTTAATATGATCATGTAGGCCTACAGGCAGCAACAGCCTTGTTGATCGAGCAGTCAATAAGAATGTCTGTTCTCAGGTTGGGTAGCAAGAGTATAACACTTGAAATTGGTCTTGGATATATAAGCATCATTTCTTTTTTCTTTCTAATATTTTTAGAAGTAATATCTTAGATTTTTGAACTTTTCTTTTTAAGGTCATACTATATTTTCGTATTTTTTAACACTCCAGCCATCTCCCACTGACAAAGAAAACTCAGTCACTCACTGCAGAAGAATACCAAAAATCATAGTTCAGATGACCTTCCACACCACAACATCCCCACCCCTCTTTCATTCAGAATGCAAGCACTGTACTTTCCACTTCTGGGATTCAAGTCTATAAATGTTACATTGCTCACTCCAACAGCATGTCAAATCATAAAAAAAACCACTTGCCCTCACTCTTACAGGCACATAGAAGCCTGTTGCATGTTCAAGCCCCTATTGCTCAGAGCCTCCTTTACTACTTCCAACCTTTCCTAAGACGACTTCTACCCCTCCATCCCTTCACCCTAGATTTATATGTCCTCTTTGTTGTCCTATTTTTCTGCATCCTCTAAATGTTCAAACCACTTCAACAACCTCTCCCTAGCCCTCTGAATAATACTTTTAGTGAATTGACACCACCTAATCTCCAAACTCTGAATTATATGCATAATATTCACACCACACATTGCTCTCAAACACGATATCTCTGCTGCCTCAAACCTCCTCCTTGCTGCAACATTTAGAACCCATGCTTTACACCCGATGATAGACCCAGAGGCAGTCCTCCACTCTAGGCAGTTTCTAGAAGTTTTTGAGAATCTGGCATGGGTGAATGATAATCACAGACACATCAGTCATGGTACTACTACACTTTGGTACACTCCCCTTTTTTGCCTCTGTGGATAAAGTTTTGTCTCCACAGATAGCTCAGTGCAACATCCACTTTTTATCTTCTTCAGTTCTGTGGT